GGTATGTTTTAGACTCGTTCGAGGACGAACGTTTGTTTAAGAGGGGAGGATGTAACGACCCGATCATTCGTTCTGAGAGTTATAGCCACATTTCCCCCATCTATGCTTATTTATATGCTGTTCAGCTGTGTTGAGTTGTATCGAATTGGTAGGTTTGGGTTCGGAGTAGTTTTGGATTGAAATGACCACTTAGTCTCTTAATTAGAAAGTTAAGTTAGAAAAGTCAACCGGAAGTTGACTTATGAGTAGAAGAATTCGGATTTGGATTTTTATGATTCGATTAGCTTCGTTGGGTGATTTTAGAATTTGGAGTGTGTCCGGAATATAATTTGGAGGTCCGTAGTAGAATTAGGCTTGAATTGGCAAAAGTTGGAAGTTTAGAAGTTCTTAGGCTTGAATTCGAGGTTGATTTGGTATTTTGGTGTGGTTTTGGGTGTTCCGGAGGTTTGACTAAGTTCGGGCAGTGATACATGACTTGTTGGAATTGTTGGTTGAGGTCTCGAGGGCCTCGGATGAGTTTTGAATAGGTTTGGGTTGTGTTGCGCTCGTTTTTCTTATGTTTCGACGTCGTTTCTTCAAGCATAAATGATATCATATTGAACAAATGAGCTCCGGTTTCTTTTTTGATTGAATCATTAGATCCGTATTGTAATTACGGACCTGTAGCAAAAAGAATCATCGAATTTGGACATCGTATGAGGATTTTATGGTCATTTTACTATGAATTAGGTTGCCAGATTTTTCAGTTTAATTACAAAATTGCCACTGACAATTAAAAATCTGCACTATTTGCAAATATTAAAACTTACATATCTCCTTCGTTATAAGGTCAAATTGAGTGATTCAAAAGCCTAACTTGACTAGAATTTCACAAGGAATCCATTGGAGGCATAAAATACGAGTTTCGGGATCGTTTGGCATGAGAAACGAGGCAGAATAGCTGGTAGAAAAATATACAAAATAAGGGTTTGTTCATCCGGTCATATTTTGAGTTGGGAAGCTCGGATTTGGGCGATTTTGGAGGCGATTTTCACCATATGGATTGGGGTAAGTGTTCTCTACTCGTTTTTTATTATAATTTATGAATGCATCTTCATTTTTGGGATTTGATTGATGATTTCAAAGTGAAATTGAGGGAGTTAGGGTTTGAGTTTTGGAGAGTTTTAAGTGAGAATTTGAGGGACCAAACAGAGTCCGATTTTGACAAATTTTATATGGTTAGACTCGGGAGAGGACGAGGCTTATTATTCTGCCATTTTTGACTGATTCCGAGACGTGGGCCCGGGGGCCGGGTTTTGGCCGATTTCGGATTTTTGGCATGTTTATGTAGTTTTTATTGTGTAATTCGATTCGTTAGACTATGTTGATAGTAGTATTCTGATTATGGTTAGATTTGAAGCTTTTGGAGACCGAGTCAAGGGACGAGGACATCCCGGAGTAGGATTTTACGCTGTTGAGGTAAGTAACAGTTTTAACTCTGGCTTTGAGGGTATAAACCCGGAGAAATTGATATCATGTGATTGTTTGGTGGTGATACCCACGCTAGGTGACGGGCGTGTGGGTGTGCACCACGAGGGATTGAGACTTGGTCCGTCCCGTGAGGCCAGGCCTAAAAGCTATTATCTGTGGTTATGTGTTTACTTGTTGTTGAACTTGTTTGCCTTCATGTTAGAGATCCTGTTTAGGTTTTATTCATGCTCACATTATTTGCACTCAGTCATAGAAATTATTGTACATGTTTACCTCAGTCTCTGTTATTTTGCTGATATGTTGTGATGCTGATGTGGGTTGTGTTCCCTTATTTATTGATGATGGTGAGGCTAGTGAGGTACATGACTGAGTGAGGCCGAGGACCTGGTTGTGAGGATATTAATACCATAGCGCGTGAGTTGTCCGCGTAGCACTATAGCGCGTGAGTTGTCCGCGTAGCACGTGAGTTGACCGTGCGGATCCAGGTATTGATATGGTAGCACGTGAGTTGTCCGTGCTTAGCGCTTGGCTTTGGGAGCCCCTCCGGAGTCTGTACACACCCCTAGTGAGCGCAGAGTGTTGAGTGTTGAGTGTGGAGTGCTGAGTGTGAGTGCTGAGTGATGGAGTGACGTTGCTGTGAGGATGCATTAACTTTTGCTGTTGCTGCATTTATCTGTTAAATTTCTTTGTGGCATTTACTGAGTTATGGAATTTACCTGTTCATTCCTGTTATTTTTAAAATTGTGAAAAATAAATAATTGGACTGTTTTGCTCAGCTCGTCACTACTGCTCAGTTCCTTAGTTATTTCTGTTACTACTGAGGTGGTTGTACTCATACTACACCCTGCACTTTATGCGCAGATCCAGGCGATCGTTGAGTTCAGGCCGGCCTTAATTGGAGACTGCAAGGTAGCTGCCAGTGTCCGCAGGACCTTGTTACTCCTTTTATCATTTCTTCTTTGGATAGTTAGACCGTTTATATATCTCAGTTCATAGTTATAGACGCTCGTGACTTAGTGACACCCCGATGTTTGGGACTCGTTTTCGTATTTTATATTATTTATAGTTAGAGTTTGTTTAGTTTATCAGGAATTAAATTATTGGAAATATTTTATTAAATTCTTATAATCAAATTAGTAGTAATATTTTGGGAAGAGGCTTGCCTTGTAACACGATAGGCGCCATCACGACCAAGGTTAGATTTTGGGTCGTGACATATAAGAATCTTAATCTTTATCACTTAGGAATTTATTCGAGCTTGTCTTCTTAGTGATATTGAACAGTTATAGCGAAACCTTAGTTCTCTGTGGAATTCGACTCCAAACTTTTAGACTGGATTATATTTGCAGCGACCGTTTATCCTTTTTAGGACTAGAGTTGGGCGTGATCAAATTTTTACGGGGGAACTAACGGTGTAGCTGTAGCTGTAAATATTACTTGGTCTCAAGTTTGAACTTTTATTTTATTTTATTTTATTTTATTTTATATTTGATTTAAGAGACATGGCTTCTTGGAATTATGAGAGTTTTGATGTTGGTAGTTCTACTTTTGATCCTCCTTATGCATATTGTGGAGGAAATTACACATGGAAACATTATCGAAATATTTCCGAGAGTGTGTTATGTGCACCAACTCAATTTCATGTGTGCAATGTGTGTGATATGTATGGTAGTCAAGATGGCCCACTTTTATTGTTGTACTTATATTTCTTATCCTCTCCCCCACCCCTTATTATGGTAGTTCTACTTTTACTTGTGAAGTTAATAGGAACAAAGAACCTAGGGATGCTGACGTAAAGGAGATTAAGGATACGCAAAGGTGCATTATGGAACAAAATAATGACACACAATTACGGATACAAAGGCAAGATGCAACTATTCACAACTTGAAGGCTCAAGTGAGTCAAATGGTTAGGGATGGCAATTGGGGCAGGGCGGGGCAGGGATAACCTTAAATGGGGCGCGGCAGGGGAAGAATTTAATAGGGCAGGGGTGGGCAAATTGTTATTTTTGAAAATTTTTAATAGGGCAGGGCAGGGTAGGGCACATACGGGTTAATAGCTGGGTCGGGTCCAAATAAGTTAGACCCGCGTACCCCTAAATCTTAAATCCCAAACGCTAAAATCCTAAAACCTAATTTCCAAACTCAGAAGTCAGAAACTCTCAATCTCTCATGCGATTCTTCTTCCTCTTTGAACTGCTGCCAATCTGCAATTCTTCTTCCTTAAACATTCTTCGATTCTTCTTCCTCCAGCAAATCCAGGTAAATATCTAATAAGTACACAGTTCTCTTTTTTTTCTAATAATTTCCATTCATTTTGTCACAACCACTGGTCTTTTCCGGCCTAGTAATGGTGGTTCACTGATCAACAAACCTTTTTTGGAGAAGAACTACCTTGGACCAGGTCTACCGGTCTTCATTTGTCAGGTTCGGACTCGATTTTGTTGCTACTTGGTTTCTCTGATTCTATATTCTGTTGGGAGTTTTAGTCTTTTAGAAAATGATTATTGGCTTCTCCTTCGAATTCTCATCATCATGTGATGATTCTGAAGTTGTCTCATCTATAACCTTAGTACTGTTTGTTGCTGTAATCGTAGGTGGTGGTCTATGTCTTCTCATATGACCACCCAAAGCTTGTCCTGATGAGAATTCTGTCCTACAAATCATAGGTGGTGGTCTATGTCTTGTAAAAAAAGAGATTACCAACAGAACAAATTAATTAGTTTCGTGGGATTTGGACAAAAGAGGTGGAGGTCGTTGAGGAAGTATCGAATGAAAGAAGACAAGTAATCAGAATGGTAGATGGTTAGACTACTACAAAGACAACATATAGGGCATTCTATGTTGCGCGGACTGTTGTCACACCCATGTCGGATCCTCCAAAATACACTATTCTTGGAGGATCTAACACGCACCTGACGACATGTTCCAAGAGTCCGAGCAATATAGAGGGCATTCGCTTCACGTGCATCATCTACTTAGAAAAAATCATCTCAAATCAAAATGCAGTAATCACAGAACTATAAAATAACTAGTAAGACTAAACAAAACTAATTTTTTATATACTAATATTACATACAATAGAAGGTTAATTTCTCTCTCTAGAATGAGAGCTTCTCTCAGCTCAGCTGATGACGAGAAAATCTAAGTCTAGAGGAAGAGGAAATCAAAGCAAGCAACAGATAACAATGGTGACATTAGGAGTTCCGGATTCAACAAATGCAAAGAAACAAAGAAGCATCAATGCAATTCAAGGCATCGCACTACTGGATCTAACAAAAGTAACAACGGATAAAACACCTCAAAGGAACAGTACCATGCAAACAGAGAAGGCAGCTGGATCTACAAGCACGGGAAGGAAATCCTAGGTAGATAGTGCAGAAGAAGAACTCAATGGTAGCGGAAATGAAGGTACGCAACTGATTTCAACTACAAAGTCATGGAGTAAAATAGTTGGGGAACAACCGAGTTCTGAGGGCCTAAATCTAAGCAAAGGAATAGAAGAAGCTCACGAGAATGTGAAAATAACAATGGAGGATATTAAGGAAGAGATAAATTACTGGGAATCTGCGGTGGAATGCTATATTCTAGGGTCCAATCCACCACAAGCAGTAATGGATGGGTATTTCAGGAGAATTTGGGGGAAAATAGGAGTAGATAAAGTTGCACAGACTAGTAAAGGAGTATTTATTGTCAGATTTCACAACATAGTAGACAGGAACAAAGTGATTGAAGAAGGAGTCCAAATGTTTGACAAAAAGCCAGTTATAATTAGAGCATGGACACCGGATATGGAGTTCACAAAAACACAAATGGAGAAGATACCAGTGTGGGTGAGATTGCCAGGACCGGAGATTAAATACTGGGGAAAAATTGCTTTAACAAAGATAGCAAGGATGATTGGTAAACCACTTAAAGCTGACAATGCAACAACACATAGAGAAAGATTGACATATGCTAGGGTGTTGGTTGAGGTAGAGTTGAACAACAAATATCAAAACTCAGTAATGTTTGAGAATGAACATGGGAGAATAATTGAACAAGAAGTGGTATATGAATGGAAGCCTGTGCTATGTGAAAAGTGTGACAATTATGGCCATGAAATGAAAGAATGCAGAAAGTGGATCAAAGAAGAAAAAGAAAAGCAGAAAGCACATGAAGTGACTAATAATGAACAGGGGAAGGGGAATATCCAAAACAAGGGGATAGATAATGGAAAGCAGAAGGTAGCAGAGGCCAACTTGGCTAAAGATACAGGGCTGGAGAATAAACAGAACAAGCAGATAGAAGGAAAAGGCTATCAGGCTAAATACAAGACTGGCAAATACATAGCTAAGGGAGCAACAATGCAGAACACAACACTTAAGCTAGGGAATACATTCTCTAGCCTAATGGAGCAGCAGACAACAGGTACAAGACCTAAAGAACCTAGTTCTTCTATACCTTAATGGATAATATTGGATTCTGGAACACCAGAGGACTAAACAACCTAGCCAAGCAAAAGGAGATTCAAATTTTCATGCACAATGCTAGGGTAGGGGTGTTTGGTCTTCTGGAAACCAAGGTGAAGAGAGCAAAAGCACAACAAGTCTCTCTTCACCTATGTCAAGGCTGGTCATTTAGCACAAATCTGTCACAACACCCTAATGGAAGGATATGGCTACTATGGAAACCAATGATATATGGAGTTAACATTATAAGAGTAACAGCACAACTTATGCACTGTGAACTACAACATAGAGGGACTGGGCACACTTTCCATGTGTCTATGATCTATGCTTTTAATGATGCAGCTATGAGAAGGGAGTTATGGTAAATAATAAGAGAGATCAAAGGGCCGATCAAAGGCCCATGGGCAACTATGGGGGACTTCAATTGTGTTTTACAGAAGGAGGAAAGGATTGGTAGCCCAGTATCAATGGCAGAAATAAGAGACTTCAAAAGATGTATTGAGGAATGTGAACTACAAGACCTTAAATCTACAGGAGCCTTCTTCACATGGACAAACAAACAAATTGGAGGGGATAAAGTACTCAGTAGAATAGATAGAGTATTGGTGAATGAAGACTGGAACATGCAACTTCCAGTATCAAATGTACACTACAGGAATGAAGGGTTATTTGATCACTGCCCTGCTATAATAAGCTGGGAAAGAGGGAACACAGGACAGAAGAAAATGTTCAAATACTATAACATGTGGAGCATGGCTACAGACTTCAAGGAGAAAATAAAAGCTGGATGGAAGACAGAAAAGAAGGGAACCAAAATGTATGAACTAGTAGGGAAGCTACATAGAATCAAGCATACAATGCAGCAGATAAACAAAGATAGATTCAATGAAGTAGAAAGGAAAGCAGAAGAAGTTATGCTGAGACTGCAGAAATGTCAAGAGAGCATTCAGAAGGACCCCTACTACATTAAGCTGATTGAGGAGGAAAGGGAAATATCTGAAGAGTGCAGGACTTGGTGTAAGGCAAGAGAGCAATACTTGAGGCAAAAATCCAAAATACAAGGCTGAAGAAAGGAGACATGAATACAAAATTTTTCCACAGCATGATGAGGGCAAGAAGGAATACAAATAGAATCCTAGCCATAGACAATACAGAAGGACAACATATAAAAGATCTTGAAGAAATAGCTAAGACATTCATATCATTCTGTGAGGGACTACTGGGAACAAAACTACAAGAGAGAGATCAAGTATGCAGCCAGCTGGTTAGACAAGGGCCTACAGTTTCAGAGAGCCACAGAACAATGCTGACAGAAGAATTTACTGAGAAGAAAGTGAAGGCAGCATTATGGTCCATTCATGGAGATAAAGCACCAGGACCAGATGGATTTGGAAGCCAATTCTTCAAGGATGGATGGGAAATAGTGGGCAAGGATGTGGTGGAAGCTGTGATGGAATTTTTTAATAATGGGAAAATGCTCAAAGTTTGGAATAACACAGTAATCACTCTTATCCCAAAGAGTACACATGCATCTAGTGTAGGGGATTACAGGCCAATAGCATGTTGCAACACAGTGTACAAAATTGTCTCTAAGATGCTATGCAATAGACTAAAGAAGGTGCTACCAGAGATTATTTTAGACAATCAAAGTGCATTTGTAGCTGACAGGAACATTGTGCAGAATATACTCATATGTTAGGATATAGTCAGACTCTATAACAGAAAAGCAACAACCAAAAGCTGCCTGATCAAGATAGACTTGAAAAAGGCCTATGACACAGTTGAATGGGGATTTGTTGAGGAGATGCTGCAGGCTTTGAAGTTTCCTGGTAAATTCATAAGGTGGGTGATGAGTTGTATAACCACTCCTCAGTACAATATAGCATTGAATGGGGGTTTGTATGGTAATATCCAAGGGAGAAAGGGATTGAGGCAGGGGGACCCTATTTCACCTTTGCTCTTTGTTATCTGTATGGAATACTTCACCAGAATAATGCAGAAGATCACACATATGCCAGGCTTTGAGTTTCACACCAAATACAGGAGCCTACAGCTGAATCACCTATGTTTTGCTGATGATGTTCTTATGTTTTGCAAAGGGACCTATCAATCAGTACTGCTAATGCTGAGAGGGCTACAGACAGTCTCAAGAGCATCAGGGCTGCGTACAAATGCTGGGAAGTCTAATATTTTCAGTGCTAACATGGACCAACAGAGCTTAAATGATCTATGTGAACTAACTGGTTATCATAAAGGAAAGCTGCCATTCAAGTATCTAGGGGTCCCAATCTCAACAAAGAAGATAAACAGCATTGATTGTGAAATGTTAGTGGACAAGATGACAGCAAGAATCAAGACCTGGGGATCTAAACATCAATCTTATGCAGGAAGAGTCCAACTTATCAACTTAGTGCTACTGCATGTACATACATACTGGGCATCAATTTTCCTCTTGCCAAAAGCAGTGCTGAAAAAGATCAATACAATATGCAGGAATTTTTTGTGGAATGGGAAAGAGATAAGCAGCAGAGCTCCTCTCATAGCATGGGACCTTTTATGCAGACCAAAAGAGGTGGGTGGCTTAGGAATCACAAATGCAATAGTGTGGAATGAAGCAGCAATAGGGAAATATGTCTGGAATATAGCAAGAAAGGCTGATGACTTATGGGTGAAATGGATCAACCACATCTACTTAAAGGACTGCCCTTGGTGGCAATATAAGCCTCCTAATGACTGTTGCTGGTACTGGAAGAAGGTATGCTCAGTGAGAGACAAATATGTAATGGGATATGTGGACCAAGGATGGCTACAAAAAGATGGCAAGTATAGTATCAAAAGTGGATACATATGGAGGCTAGGAAGAGCAGAAAAATGGCCTTGGAGCACGTGGATATGGAACAAAAGGAACATACCAAAACACAGTTTTATATGTTGGCTGGCTGGACATGGCAGACTGTTAACAAGAATGAGAATGCAGAAAATGGGAATAACACAGGACACAATGTGCACCATATGTGACAGTGCACCTGAGACAGTTGAACACTTGTTCTTTGAATGCCAATTTTCCAAATCATGCATGCAGATCAACTGGCTAAGCATTGGAATACAAAATTTCACCTTCCAAGGTATTTGGAGGAGACTCACAAGAGGCATCAAAGGAGAATAATGCAGGAACCGGGTGAATGCAATACTCACTGCACTGATATACTATATATGGAAGGCAAGAAATGAAGCACTTTGGCAACAAAGAGTACCTAAACCTGGGACAGTATGTGCACAAGTTCAGCAGGACTGCAGATTAAGAATGGAGAACAATGACAGGAAGATAGGAAGCAGTAGAGATAGGAAATGGATAGATGACTTGTATAGGAAAAAGATATAGAACAAATGAAAGAAGATAAGATTAGAGGTATAGATAGAACACTCAAAAGGAGATTGTATTGACACAAATGTAATCAGTTGGTTGAGATTATTAATAATATTTTTTCCTTTACCAAAAAAAAATTATTATAAGGACGATAGAAAATCAGTCCAATTTTATGCATGAGATCTACAGTAAAAGCTATATATTTGTAAACAAATAGACCAAAACAATAGCGAGAAGAAAAAGGATATGACCAGATTTCATTGACTTAGAAAAAGCATATGATTAGACTGCCAAGAAAAGTCCTTTAAGGTGGTGCTTCACCAGAAAAGAACTCATTTAAATATATTATATACCTTAAAAGATACATTTTCTTTTATCAGATACCAGAAAATATTTGTATAAAGAAGCTAAAATAAAAGAAAGAGTCATTAACCAGCATGAAAAAAGAGCACGAAATAGAGAAGGTTCCTAGTTGGCCGAAAGTTGTTTGACGTCACGGAGAAGTGAATCTTTAGATGATACAGGCGGGTGGAAAGACAAGGAAACGCAGGCACAGACTAACAATCAGTAGAAGGGGCTTCTTGGTTTTGTCAATCACTGATGTTGCCATCGAACAGTAAAGCGATACAGGAGGTGGGATAAGGAGTAGCAACTCTACAGCTACAGAGTCACAGGTCACTCATAACTTCAGCGTTCATCAGAGAACCAGTTTGCTGTAGTTCTCTAAAACGGATGGAAACAGGGCAGAGTAGGGCATGCGGGCTGGGCACGCTAGACTCTTCTGCAAAACGCTATCGGAAATGTCCGACCCCCCTAAGTTGAAAGAGAGCTTGAAAAACATGATGTTTCTTCTTCTATAATGACATTGAGTAACAAACCCAATGTATCTCCAAAATCTGTTAAAGTTTTGAAAAATAGAAAACTGAACTTATTTTTACTTCAAAATCCAACAACTGATGGACCTTAACCTGTCGCTCCGAGGCAAGCACCAAAATATAGCAAATCCAACATAATTTGAAATAACAGGTAACCTCGATTATGTGCTAGCAAAAAAGCTAAAAGGGTTGAAAAGCAAACTTAGGGAATGAAACAAGAGCTCTTTCAAAGATTTTGAGAGGAGAAAGCATGAGGTGAATGCAGGCAAGTTTTCAGATGCAGTTGGAAGATGTGGCAAAGAGAGATTTCTTTGAGAAAAAATCAAGGTTTCTATGGCTGACTTGCTAAGTTGCTCCGACATGGCAGTTTAGGTGCTGTATCCGTGTCGACACGATACTAGTATGGGTATGGGTATGGGATCCGTACAGGATCTGGTCAAACAATTTTGGGTACTTTGACCGCGACGGACGAAAAAAGTTGAGACGAGATACAATTTGATTCCCGAAATCAGAACCAACACTGGGGTAAATTTGAAGAAAATAGCATACCTTATCTAGGAAATCAATACTTTACTTATCTACAACTTGAGAATAAAAAAGAAATCCACATTTTACAAGATATATATAAGTATTCCACAAAATTTCTGATAATTTAGATATATTTTTATATTTTTTGAATTATTTTTAGCCGGATCCGCGCACAGTACTAGGATCCGTATCCCCGAATCTTAGAATTTACGTCTCGAAGGATCTGACCTCTAGGTCCGCACCCATGTCGGACACCCGCACCCGTGTTAGAGCAACTTAGCTGACTTGTGGAGAGAATAACACAATTCTTTCAATCGAGAAGCTAGCGGTTGATGATAGCATTTCAGAAAATGCATAAGTCACCAAACAAGAGAGAGAACATTTCAGAAAACCTAGAGGACAAGAATTTATATTTAGGGACCAAGATGCGGAGACCAAGTTTAGTTTGAAAGATATGCCAAGAATCTCATAGGAGGAAAGAAACTGGTCACAGAGACACAACATGTGCAACTGGTGCTATCTATGCATAAGAGAAATGCAAAGTAACTAACACATAATTTTTGTATGGCAAGGTGACAGTTAACCTCTGTGCTATGTTCTTGAACATGTTCAAGTTGAAACGGGTATTGCCAAAATCTCCAAAAGAGCTATTTATTTGCTGGAATAGAAAAGGTATCACCAAGAAGAAAAGAAGGCTGTGGACCAAAACACCTGCGTGCATCTGGTGGATAATTTGGAAGGAAAGGAGCCTCAAGTGTTTGGAAAGTAGACACGAACCTATCTTTAAAATCAAGTTTGATTGCATATGTCTACCGTCATTTTGGTGTAAAATGTTTAGTTGAAGACAGAGAAGAACTCATAGAGTTCATTCCTAGGAAGTTTTCCTTTTGTACTCATGTAAATACCCACGCACACAGTACCTCGCGGTCTAAGTAGGTTAGTATATGAGGTAGTCAGGTGCAACCTTTTGTTGTATAGCACCTTCTTGGTGCTGCTTATCAATAAAAGCTTTACTTTTACCTGATTAAAAGAAAGAGGTGTATAACGAAGCTTTCCCAAGTGCGAACCGTAGAAAAAAAGACAAACTGATTTTCTTATGATCGCAAATTTACAGCAGGAAGACCTGTTTACCTAGCTATGGACAAACTAACCAAAAGTATACAGAATGATGTACCTTGTTGCTTGCAGATGAAATAAAATAAGAGTAAACAAAAATTTACTCCAAACTGTAAGAATTTGAGGGCAAGTAGAAGAAAGACAAAATATATGCACTATAATCTCAGCCCAAAAACATTAT